TTATTATTATTCAAAAATGTTCTGTAATTTGTCATCCAGTTCTGAAATACAACTTAAAACTATAAGGCTCGATTAGATTAGACTGAATTTTGGTAGTGGTATGTTGACAATGTAGACAAAGTCTGAATAATAATAATAATATTTTGGTGTAAATTCTCACACTATTTATTTTACTGATAAAGTAATAATCTGGCCCATAGTCAGGTTGATTAGGGGTTTGAACAAACTGCTCACTTTGTCTGCAGATGTCCTGTAGCATTTGCTATTTTTTCTTGATTTTATTAGTTCCTGCAGTGCTGCAGTTCGTTACATGTCCAGTAAGGAAAATGTAGGACTAAATCTAGAGAGTCTGTCTCAGAGCTGATTTGTTTTGCTGATCCTGGATGAAGTATTTAGATTTGGACCAATCACTGAATCAGATTTCACATTCAAAAATATTCTKAGAAACATGAAGATAACTCATTTTCTTTCCCTGGTTTTGACATGGCATAGAGAGCATTTAATCTTGTTCCGTCTGACCATTTTTAATTACCTTTGAGTTTACATTGACTGACTACATGCCAGTGAGTCAATTTTATTATAATAGTTGTTTATCAGAGAATGATGGAACCAAATTTTAAGAAATCATATTATCTTACATTTATTATTTCCATGTGTGAACACTGATTTCCAACTAGTCAGAAGACAGTTGCAGCCCAGTAAGATCCTGACTCTGAACTGCTGCCYATGCTTCCACCCCTTCATGTAAAGCTGCAACATTTGGAGAGAAGTATCAGAAACCATGTGGTTTATTATTCATGAAAATAAAAACAATGCAAAACTAAAGTCTAATTTGCAGAAATTATTGATGTGTGGTTGTGTTTTGTCATGGAAATTTAAAAACACTTTTTGATGAGCAATTACATTTTATAAAGTAAATAAAACAAAATACTTTTAACAAATCTGGGCCTGTATTCATCAAACTTCTTAGAGTTACTCATAACAATGCTGTTAGGAATGGACTTAAGTGTAAAACAAGTCTTAGCTAAAAGCTGAGACTAAAAGTCAGTTATCAAGCGTCTCAGACTCAGCGAAGAGGAATTCTTTAGTGTCAGTCTTAGCATAGACCCTTCTCCACCATAGATATCATATAAAGTACTAGATACCCTACTACTGCATGCTGAATCACATGTGGCGCTGCCATATTGGATGGGTCTCTCCTCACTCTAGGCAGCATCAGAGCGACTGTCCCCTTATTTAAAGCATAAATCTGCACAGTTTTGAAATCAGATCACATGGGAGACCCCCGGACCACTTGGTGCAGTTTGAGGTGGTGTAGAGCAGTGTTTCCCAAAGTTGGGGTCGGGACCCAAAGTGGGGTCCCGAAACATCAAGGTGGGGTCCTGAAAAGATTTTCTGAATTAATGACATTTTTGCCTTAGTTGTTACAAAGGAGTGAGGTTAGTGTATTTAAAATGGATAAATGTAGTATAAAAATATTGTTACTATGCCCATGTTTAGTTGACCTGATACAGATGTTTATCATCCAAAAACAGCTGTGGTCTCAGGTCTCTGCTGTTGGTATTTTGTGGGTCAAAAGCTGAAAAGTTTGGGAAGCACAGCCTTATACTGTATTTATAAAAAGTCATGAAGTATAAAGTTGTTACTTTAATTTAATTTCTGCTTGTTTTCATTGCAGCTT